AAACTTCTTTCCCACATCCTAAAGGAATAAGAGCACTATTGTATACTGACTTTAAGACCTTGTCAGCTGACCTGAACATTAGCACCCCCTCCTCCCCATCCTAAGGACTTACCCTTTAACCAGGTTAAATTATTATTTTATTTTTAGTTGGTGCCCTTGAGCACAGTCTGCTGGTAGAGAGGCTGCTTACCTGTGAGCAGTCGTTGACGACATTGGTCCACCAAATGTTGGCAGTACTGAATTTCAGCCTTGAGGTCCCGCAGGTCTTGGTATTCCCCCCGATACTGCTTCTTCAGTTCCTTCAGCTTCAGAATTAGTAAGAACTCCTCTTCATCAATAATCATCAGCCCTTTATTCTCATATTCCCCTGGAGATTGAAGATTGGAGGATGAGGGAAATGCACAGAAAACAGTTGGGTTCATGCTCTCTAAATGGTAGAGCTCTTGACCTAGGCTGCTGCCCAGGAAGACTCTTCCAATGATGTTAAGGACAGCATAGAATCACAGGATTTGGAGCTGAAAAGGAGCATAGACATCATCTAGGGCAGGGGTGGGGAACCTGCTGCCTCACAGGTTCCCTACCCCTGGTCTAGGGCAATCCCCTAATTTTACAAAGTGGGAAAATAGAGCCCATGGAGAAGAAAGTAACTTGACCCAGGTGAAGTAGTTAAGTAGCAGAGCCTAGATCTGAACTCTGGACTGTGACCTCAAATCCTGCATCCTTGTTATTATGCCATAGCTGCCCCTTAGGACTAAGTGTTTAGGGCAATGCTTGCACTCAACTAGTGCCCACTGTTTTAAGAGTTCTTTATTTCCAGGGGCAAGCTAGGTGGTGCAGTGGTTAGAGCACCAGCCCTGAAGTCAGGAGGACCTGAGTTCAAACTTGGCCTCAGACCAAACACTTGACGCTTACTAGCTGTGTGACCCTGGGCAAGTCACTTAACCCCAATTGCCTAAAAATGAAAAAAATTTTAAAAAGAGAATGCCCCTTCAGATGTGAAGGCCCTCATTCTTCATACTTGACTTCCACTTGCCCAGATCCTTTTCTTGAACTCTAGGGAATGCTTCCCTTTATTACCTTGCTCTTCCCGGAAAGTTTTCTGTACATCCAATGCCTCCTTGGTAGAGTCAATTTCTTTCTTGATAGAATTGATCCGCTGAGCAGTCTCACTGGCTTTCTTCCTCCGGTCATTCAGTATGGTTTTGTTCTGCTTGAAGATCCGATTGATCTCACTGCCACGTTCATTTTTAAATTCCTCAAAAGCTGATGGTTTAGGAGGTGGGGTGCCGGGTCTGGGAAACCAACGAGAAAGGGAAAAATTAAAAGATGATCTTGATATAGGAGACTCATTTTCAACCCTTGGATTATCTGTGGTCATGGCCCCACCGCTCCTTGCTAAGAACAAGAGGATAAAGTGTTCTACTTCTTTGTTCATGAAATCTGACATTCTTTTATCCAGTCATAATCTTTTATCATCCCATCTTCCCTGGGCCTTATAACCCCCCTAACCCTGTTCTTGGTCCTTATAGTGACCTCCAATCCCTCTACTTCTCAATTCTTTTCTGGGCTATCCTCCCTGCACAGAATGCTTTCTTCCATCTCTCCTATCTTGACTCTTGGGTGAACCAGTTGAACTCAACACCATCCTCTACACTCAAATCCCTTGCTCTCATGTCTTATTGTCAATCCTATCTAGCTAAACCTGAGCTTTGGATTACTTCCACCATCCATCGCCTTTCCTTCTATTTACATACTACTGAATGGAGCTGTAGAAAACTCAGGAAACCAAGCTGACTGAGTCTATTACAAATTTATATTAGGTAATCACAGGGAAGCAAGGTAATTCTTTTCTATCTCCCTGATTTATTAGCTTTTGTACTCAAGACAGTGGCTATTCCAAACTTTCTCATTCCTCTTTATGCCTCCCACGGAACCTCCTCTTCCCCTCTCTCAGATGAGGACCTCACCTCATATTTTACTGAAAAAAAAATGGAGCCTATTCACTTAGAGCTTCCTCTTTTTCCCCTCCTCCTCTTTTCATCTCACTTGGGGATCTTCCCTCATTAGGTCCTCAATCACTCTCGTCTAGGATGAAGAGGTGGCCTTTTGCCTTACTAAGGTAAACTCCCCTACAGGTAGTCTTGATCCCATCCCCTTCCATCTTCTCTAATAGGTTGCCCCTACTATCATCCTCCATTGTCTCTCCAAACTTCAATCACTTGTCCTTGTACTTTTGCTACAACAAATAGGCCCATGTGTCCCCCACCCTCCAAAAGTCCTCACTTGCTCCAACCACCGTTACTGGAATCCTACATCTCTCCTCCCCTTCTCCACTAAATTCCTTGAGAAAACTGTCTATCCTGGGTTTCTCCATTTCTCTTCCTCTTACTCGCTTCTCTGCAATTTAGCTTCCAACTTCATTCAACTAAAACTGCCCCCTCCAAAATGATCAATGATCTCTTAATTGACCAGTTTAATGGCATTTTTAAAATCCTTATCTTTTTTTACCTCTTTGACCCTGCTGATTTCTCTCCTCGTGGGCATTTCTGGGTTTTTGTGACACTTTTCTCTCCTAGTTCTTCTATCTGACCATTCCTTCTTGGTCTACTTTGCTGGATCTTCATCCAGGTTGTGCTTACTAACTGTAGGTGTCCCCCAAGGCTCTCCTCTCTTTCCTCTATACTATCTCACTTGTTGATCTCAACAGCTCCTATGGATCCAATTGTCATGTCTATGCAGGTGATCTTCTGAGTTATATTATCTCTCTATCTAGCCTCAGTCTCTCTCCTGCTCTCTAATCTTGCATTGCCAGCTGCCTTTTGGACATCTCAAACTGCACGTCTCATGGGTATCTGAAATTCAACATGTCCAAGTCAGAATTTCTCTTTCCAGCTTCCCTGTTACTGTCAACGATAAGCAAGCCCACTTTGGTGTCCTTCTCCACTCCTCTTCCACTCATCCGATATATCTACTATATTGCAAAATCTTGTCATTTCTACCTGCACGACATCTCTTGTATACATCCCCTTCTCTTTATCCCCAGTAAAGGTCCTCATCACCTCACTTCTCCCCCCAACTATTACAATAGCTTTCATCTGCCTGCCCCTCAAGTCTCTCCTCCACTCTATCCATCTTCCACTTCTGCTGATTTCCTAAAGGGCAGGTCTGACCATGTACTCTACCTTAATAAACTCCAGGGCCTCCTTATTACCTGTAGAATCAAATGTAAAATACTTTGTTTGGCATTTAAAGCCCTTTACATCTGCTCCCTTCCTACCATTCCAGGCTGCTTACCTTTTCCTCCACTCTACACACTCTGTCATCCAGCTATAATGGCTTACTTGCTCTTCCTCACACATAAGACCGCATCCAAGAACATGATTGTTCTCTGTGTCTGGAATATTCTACTCCCCTTGCCTCCCTCCACCTCCCAGTGTCTCTGGCTTCTGTTAGGATTTACTTCTAAAATCCACCTTTCTTCAGGAGGTTTTTCTCAGTTCTCCTCCCTCCCCACTCTCACTGCTTGCCCTCGTCCCTGCATTCTGATGTCACCTACTATTTATACTACAGATCCAGTATGTACATGTGGTCTCCCCTATTAGACTGTGTGTTCTTTGAGATCAGGGAGTATTTTTTTTTTGTCTTTTTTGGTGTCCCCTGTGCTTGGCATGGTAGGTGCTTAATAAATGCTTGTTAGCTTTGGCCCAGATCCCTTGCCTCTGAAAGGAGATTTACTTTAAAGGAGTTCACCTAGTGGTATGGGAATCTTCCTTTGGGGAATCTGACACAACAGGTTCACTACTGGAAGCTTCCCGATCATGGGAGGGTGCATCCTTGACATCTGCTTCCTTGGAAGATGATAACAGCTGAGACCTTGATGTGGAAAGACTGTCTACATCCTTCGCACTCGCAGGGCTGAGGAGGCCTTCCTTCTTGGTTGAAGCTCTGAAAAAAGGATATAGGGTAAGAATCCTAGACATCCTGGCCCTGACAGAACCCTGCTGTTATTACAGATGCTATGGCGGGGCAAAAATTATTAGCCTTTGCCCCCTCTTCCTATGGTAGAAGGAAGATTGCTTATCTGTTATTCCTGGCATGTTAACCTTTACCTCAAATATTGTCAAAGGAGCCATTGATAGCTCTGAAAAAATATTAAGTTTTTAAAGCCTTGTAGTTATTGGGTTGTTTTTTTTTTGGGGGGGCGCAGAATTGTCCCCTCTCCCAATCCCTGATCCCCATGACAGGTGGCCTTTCTATTCATACCTGGGTCAAAGCACAACAGGTGAGGGGTTGGGCCCTGCCTTTGGATGATGGAACAAGCCTCTCTACTGCTCTAGTTTGGAATGATTGGCCCTGTCACATCTACACTTTCTTAATACAAGGAAGGTTTTGTTGTCTAATTTTTCTTTCCATGTTTCTCTTCTATTAATATGCATTTAGCAAAAAATAATATGGAAATACCGATATGTGGAATACATTTTGTCAGATGCAAAGAAAAGTACCCATGTTGATTTAAGAGTTAGGCATGGAGAGACTTGTCTTGCATGGTCATTGTGGCCGCCAGCTCAATTCATGGAGGAGCCTCGGATCCTCCAGCTTTCTCTTTTATCTTGTCTCCCAGGTGAGAATTATGACAATGTGTCAGTTGAAGTAAAGGCAATAGAACACAGAATCATATTCACAAAATTCTGATCTTGTGATTTTCAACTGTGAGACAAAGATAGGGAAGCAATCTGGAGGATCAGAGAATTCTAGATGAATTGAGCCAGAGGTCACAATGCCCATTTAAGACAAGTCCCTCCACCCCAACCCTTGAATTGGCCTGGTTACTGGGTTTTATTTGTTTGTTGTTTGTTTTATATCTGACAAAGTGCTTTCCCCACGTTGGTATATCCATGTTTCTTTTTCCATATCTTTTGGAATGGAAGTTTTCTGAGGGTAAGGGTATGGTCTTTAATATATCTAATGAATTACTTCCTGAGTATATATTGTTCCTTTAGGACCGATGGATGGAAATTGCAGAGAGTCAGATTTCAGCTCATTATAAGGAGTTTTCCAACACCAAGAGCTATCCAATAATGAAATTAGTTGCCCCATGAAATGGTAAGTTATTTGTTGTTAGCATTTTATTTTTTTCAAGCAGAGACTGGATGATGACCTCATAGAGATTTTATAGAAGAGATTCATCTATCAGACAGGGGACTTACTGAACTAGGTGGCCTCTCAGAGCATATTCTAAGATTCTGTTGAAGGTGAATTAACTCTTTCAGAGAGCCACAAGGAACCTTGGTTAAGGGGCAGGGGGGAACTAGGCTAATTATAATCATTTTTCCTTATGAGAACAAGTCAGTCAATAGCTTGAACAATAGTAAAAAGGTCCAACCAACATAGACAGGCAAGAACTAGTAGTGGCCTTGTGAGACAACTCACCCAGTAATATCTCTGAATGTCTTCTTGAACTTGCCTTTCTTCCCAGGCTTAGCAGAGAAAGGTGCGACACCAAGCCCAAACCCTTGTCCATCTGTTTCTCCTACTGTGTTGCCTTCCACATCAACCAGTCCGGCCTGAATAAGGACAATCCCAAAGACCCGGCCAAGATTAGAATTCTGACCCATGATGGATTGGATTCCTCTCCTCCTAAAGATTAGGCCCGATGATTAATTGAGCTCATGGCCATAATCCCTTCAATCCTTAGCCCCTGAGTAGGCTTGCTGGAGAAGTTAATCACTGAGGCCTGTTTTCAGATGAATTCCTAATAGGGTGTGGGCTCCTGTTGGGAGTCCAAAGTGGATCTTACTCTTACCTATTTAATCCCTAGTTCTGCCCCAATGCAAGAAGCCAGTTTCTCTGGAAAAGGTCTGGTGATGGAGAATCCCAAGCAGGAGTTCCAGTCTAGAAAAGCCCTGCAAACCCCTACCTTGTTGACGGCAGTAATGGTCGCAAAGTCATTCTTGTTTATCAGGGTGTACTTTCTACGTAAGCTGGCCTCCACTTCTTCTTCTTGTTGGCTTTGGAGTGAGAATGACATTAGTTACTGAGTGAAAGAGCAACTTTTCTCTGGAGGTCAAGTTGAAAATGTTGAGCATTTATCTAAGCAAGTCAAAATTTTGAGGTTAAAAAAAAACCCACGAGAAAGAACTCTTTGCTCTCACTTACATTAGATACCTTGTAATATTGAAGCTGTATTTCCATTATGTAATCCAATGGTACAACATTCGATTCAAAGAACGTTTAATAAGAACTTATGTGTTAGGCATTATGATAAGCCCTCATGACAAAAACAAAACTGTCTCTATCCTTAAGAAGATTGTGTTCTGTCCTGGGTGTGAAGGGGAGGAATTACAAGATGCACACCAACAAATCTGGCATAAGAAAAACTGAAGAAGGGATCACTAATACTGGAGAGACTCACGGAGGCTTGACAAAAGAAGTTCCCCTTGAACTGAATCTTGAAGGAAGACAAGGATTTATAAGAGGCAGAGGAAGATGGTTATGTGACTGGATGGATGTAGAATGGAAGATAAGAGTACTGAATTTAGGAGAGGGACACTAGTTCAGTTTGGCTGGATTGACTGGAACATACAATTCATGGAAGGGAAGTGGAATGGAATAAATCTGGAAAGGTGGGGGTTAGATTGTGGAAGGTATTCAGTGCTAGGCTATGGATCTGTATTTTTTTTATCTTATAGGCAATTGGGAGCTACTGAAGGTTTTTGAATGGGGAAGTGACATGCTGAGGCTTATCAAAATTCAAGAACCAGTGAGACCTTTGACAACTCAGAGAATCAGTTGAACAGAGAGTAAGTGGCAAACTCAAAGGCTGAGCTTAAATGTGCATTTCTAAACTCATTGCTCTATTTCGCCTCACAGCTCAGAGCAAGAAGGTGGGGTTCAAGGATTTACAGAAGACTGATACTAAAAAAGCTAGCGCAAGCATGAGCTTTATTATTATGCAGTGTAACAAGCAGCCAAAAATGAAACTAACACACACACACACACATACACACACACACACACACACACACACACACACACACACACACACACACACACACACACACACACACCCACCACAGGCATTTGGCCACGCAGAGCCAAGGGAGATGTGTATAATTGTAAGACCTCAGTGGAAGTACATGCTCAGAATGAGGTCTGAACAAGAAGTCTCATACCTTAAAGGTGAGTTGAGTTGGGGCAGACAATCAGCACCAGATGTGGAGGGGAGCATTCTTTATCAGACTCAGATGCCATGGGAAAATTCCCCAGGTTTGCTGATTGGTGCCAGACTCAGGTGGAGTAGTTTTCTATTCAGGTACCAGAAACTAGATGAGAGTGGTGAGGTTGTCCAATACACAACCACCGCAGTGACCAGGAGCCTCCTCCAATCAGGGGTCAAAGTTATTCATAGGCTCAGAATAAGTCAGGGCAGTGGGAAAAGTGCAAGCTGTCTGTTATTGCTGACGTGCTTATAGTCATTAGGACCACTTAGCCTAAGTGATTCCACATTGGAGTCCTATCATTTATAACTACAACATCAAATGATAAGTTTTTTAAAACTACAATGATCACACACTCAGTGTATGTATTAAATAGTTTCTAGTTCAGGTCACAGAAGAGATAGTTTATATGTTCGATTATCAAAATGGGTGTGGAAATGACTTTTATTTTTTAAATATTAAAGTGAAATTATACTATAATAGCACCTCACTTATCAGGAAATAATCATTTGGAATAGCTATGAAACTGTAAATAAGTGAAGGTCTTTCCATTGCTTAAATAGCCACCATAAGTCCAAGAATGTAGCTCCTCATTGTGAGCCTTTTCACTCTGATTATACATATTAAGATTTCAAAAAAGTTTGCCTGGTTTCTCAACTCTGTGCAGATTTTAACAGATGAACTCTGGTCCCTTTTAGCTCTATAACTGTATTCAGTCTATGATATGTGAAGCAGTAAATGCTAACGGTGATACTGGTGGAGAATTAATAGGCGTGTACTACTGACAGCAGAATAGAATGACAGGTAATAATCTGGAATTGTGGGAGGGGACAGACACTGAAGCAGAGGGAGAACCCAAAACACCCGTAGTTCAGGGCCATTTAGTATACGGGCAAGCAACTCTACAGACCTCATTAGCAAATGGAGGTCTATTATGACATTACAGAACCTGGCAACAACACTGATGTTTACAGTATTGATCTGAAAATTCTTTAACAAGTCATTATGTTCAGTGTCCTCGGTTAAAAAGGTAGGGAAGCATGTCATCCATTTTGGTTTTTTTAAATAAGTTTTATTGACGCCTTTTGTTCTTATATCACAGCCATTTCTAAACATCCCATCCTTTTCCCCAAAATGAAGCCTTGCATATGTAACAAATTTTAGAAAGTTTTTTAAACGGTTAAATAAAAAAGTTTTCAGTGCTCAAAAGGAAAAGATCCCATTGTATGGAAAATTATACCCCACCATTCGTAGTTTTTGAATGAATAAATGATATGAAATAAATGGCCCATTATAGTACCCTCCATAGTGTAAAGCCCTTTGATGTCAAGGGGATAATCTCTTATTCACCTTTGCATTGCCTGTGGCAACCAGTACAGTATCTCCCATCTAGTAGGAGCTTAATACACGTTCTTTGAATGAATGCAATTGTTCGATGAGCTCAAAGCACTACTCAAAATATATCTCAGGGTTAAACATTGTTTTTGGAAAACTGATACAGAGAGTATAATTAAATCCCAATCTGATTTAACAGCTTAGTAACAAAACCCAGAAGAAGCAGGTACCCTCCCTCCCACATCAATGCTCTACAGTTGGGGAGAAGGGCATTATTACCTTAAAATCACTCTGAACTGATTAAACACCTCTTGGATTTGTCGGAGGTTAATGATCTGAGGAAGAGAAGACAACACAAAGGCTAGACTATACTTACTGACCTATGTTGGGGGCACAGGCTACATCTTTATGAAAGAAATTTCATTCCTTTCGCTGAATTGTAAATTATTTGGAGTTATATATTGCATAGATGTAGACCTCAACACAGAGATTTGCTGTTTGTTTGTTTTTTTTAAACTACAAATGGACACAGACGGATCTGTTTTTTAAAGTGGATCTGAATTTAGGACTGAAAAATGCAATCCTATGTATGCTAATACAAAGTCAAAATAGAACTGACCCTTAGACTCCACATGAAACTTCAATGAGATTGTTACTTTAAGGCTTTAGATATCATTTATCTTATGAAGCTCAATGCTGCCCTAAAAAGCAAATCCCTTGACTCCTCTGATCATTTGCAAAAAGAATATAGCCTTTCTACAGTTTGGCAGATATGGGCTGCCTAGGTGCATAGGAAAACTTAATTTATGTCTTAAAAATAATAGTTAAAACACTTTTCATGAGTTAAAAACAGAAAAAAAAATAAAGTGTCTTTCAGTTAACAAATAATGAATAAAAAAAATGGAATTAATTTTTAAAATTTCATTATTTAAAAGAGAATGTTAATTTAGCGCAATTATTTTTTCTATTGCTCCTTTTACTTTAAAAATAGAGTTTAAACTTAACATCATTTTTTTTGAGGCCTGATTTCAGTTTTTCCTTGCCCTTGGTTGACTCATCTTTGGTAATTTAATGTTTGTATACTATAATATGTGTATGACCCAGCTTTTGAAGATAGTCTTAAAACTAAAATCTATTATCCCCCATGCCAGGCCTCATGGTAAAGGAGTTGTCACTCCTCCCACCTCTTCCCCCTTACATACCTCTTTTCTCTAAAGGTTCCACAGCCCAAAAGAACCTGTGCTTTACCTGGGCCAGCCTCCAAATTCAAGGAAATTCAAATATATAGCAAGGAATTGTAGAGAAGCCTTTCGGACACTGATAAGAGGCATACTGCCTGGGGAGCTCACCACTTTTACTACAATTAACCCCTCCACTGAAGCAGCTGTTAAGGCAATGGAAGTCACAGCAATGGGGTCTAATTTCTCATGGAATGTTTAAAGAATGCCCAAAATCCATCCATTAGCTAAGCAGCTTGTGAACAAAATGCTCCGGCCTCCAAGCAGCTCTATGAAAATGCTACTCACATCAATTTCATCCAGAGATCCATCCAGATACCTGCGAACTTGAGAATTAATCTCAGCTATTTGGATTTCATCCATGGGATCATAGGTGACCATAGCACGGTTGGCCTTAAAAGTGAAAAATGTTTCATTAGAAACAATGGAACTCAAGCCAAATAAACTGCTTTACTGTACTTGTGCTGGGGCCAGGAAGGAGGAGTTGCCAGTTCAAGAGAACTGATCCTTGAATCCTGGCCGGTATCAAGGTTGCATCCCAGCATACTGTGATGTCGTGCAAGTATTATCTCCATTTGAAGAGGAGGAAACTGAGGCTTGGAAGTGAAATGACTTGCCCAGGAACATAGGGTTTGTCATTGGCCAAACTTGAGATTTGAACTTAAGTCTTTGATCTCTAAGTCTAGTGAATTTCTCATTAAATGTCCTCTCCTTAATTTAGTTACAGCCAAAATATGAAACCAGATTTTCTAACTCTATGTCTAGCACTTTTCCCATGCTATAAATAGGAAGTAGGGTTTATTTAGCACTCTAGGGCGGCGTGAGAACTGCTGGTGTCGAGAGAGGGGACTCTGTGGCTGAAGCCCCTCATTAAGAGGGAGGGCACTGTGGAGGCTCGGAATGATAGGTAGACAAAACACACCAGACACCGTGAAAAGAGGACAGAAATGAAAAGGGCTTGATGAGTGGAGGATGCCCCCTCGCTCCTGCAGTTAGTCCCGTCAGCCTCTCTGCAGGCCACGGGCGGGTAGGCAGGCAGATCCAGGAGGAGCACGGGTAAAGAGCTCTTTACCAGACTGTCATGTATGGCCAGTTCCTGTTTTAGCAGAATCAACTCCTTCTCCAAGTTCTTCACCATCCTCTAGCAGGGAAAAAAGAGGAGAAAAAAGACCGTGAGAAATGCCTTCTGAACACACAGAAAAAAAATGCTCAGCAATTACTTATTAATTGAATTTATCTAAACCATCTAAAGATTGAATTTATCTAAATGATCACTTTCTTCTCTTTTTCCTTTGATAATCAAGATTTTATCAGTTCTTGTTTGGTTATCAGTACCTAGATTCTATGAATAATTTGTACATTTTTAATGCTACTATGTTGTTCAGTTGTTTCAGTCGTGTCCAATTCTTTGTGACCCCATCTGGGGTTTTCTTGGCAAAGACAGTACCGTGGTTTTTCATTTCTTTTTCTAGATCATTTTACAGATGAGGAACTGAGGCAAGCAGGGTGAAGTGACTTGCCCAGGGTCACACAGCTAGTAAGTGTCTGAGGCCAGATTTGAAGTCAAGAAGATGGAGTCTTCCTGACTTCAGGCCAAGCATGCTATCCACTGTGCCACCTAGCTGCTCCCTAATACTAGTGTAAAAAAATCCTAAAAACCATGTAGTTATAATCCTTTTCTAAACCTTCATTCCAGTGACTTTCCAGCTTTAAAACTGTTCCTAAAAAGAGACGATATAAAGTGCCAGGGCCTTGAAGGTGGATCAAGTATTAGGTTAGAAAAGTTCTCCTAACTCTGTATTTAATAAAACCCCATTCACTGAATGTTTGATCTTTTTCCAACCTTTTACCACACATTCACAAAGTTATTGGGACCCGACTACCAAAGATAATGTCTCTGGGAGTGCATAATTCCAAAAGGGAGATCTAACAGCAGTAAGCAGCTTAACTTAAGAAACAATTCTACTGAATAATAAGATGGATACAGAAGACAGATAAGGTTAAAGCTTTAAAATTCGTGGTCACAATTCCAGGTCTGATCTGTATTATGCTTCATTTAACATTAAAAAAAAATCACCTGCCTTTGGAATGTTGTCTCTGCACAAAATGATCAATGTTTCTGTTAATATTCCATTAAGTTATGGCTGTATGGAAAAATAAACAACCAGGACATGCTTTCACCTCTTTAAAAAGTCATTTACATTTACCTAAATATGTCTTATACCTGAGATGCAGGAATTCCTCCTTATTAAAAAAAAATATGTTTCTAGTGCTACTAAATGATTTGCAATTACAAAACACTTGTTAAAAACATACTCCTGGGGCAGAATTGTCCTTCCTCTTTAGCATCTTGGCTGCAAAGGAGTATGGATTTGATTTTACCCTCAATTAATCCATTAGCATTTATTAAGCACCTCTTCTGACACTGCAGGAACCAGTATTTGCAAGAGTTGGTTCCAAAGCTTCAAACCTCTACCTAACTGCTCCCCCTTAGCACTTCCTTCTATAGTATGGGCTCTGCCTGTCCTGCTAAGAACCTCTTACTGATCCAGTTTCCCCTATGGTAATCCTCATCTCTTTCTACCTCTCACAGAAATGGGACATACGATAGATACCCTCTACTAGCTGACCTTTAATTACTTTCACCTTTCCAGAAAAAAAAAACCCTTACTTGAATAATTCTATATTTGCCCTATCCAGTGGTAAATATTTAGCAACCAGCTTTCTGAAAACACGGGACACACTTTTAAGTTTAATCTGCACTATTGACATTCACTTGGTCACTTTCTTAAGCAGAGAAATTAAAAACAAAAACCCTAAATGCTGCCCTGATTTGTAGCTTGCCAATCTCTGAGGTGTAAATGCTCATGATGAAAATTTAACAATGCTTCTTGCCAGCAGTAGCTGGCACACCCCTGGTTCATGTATATCATAATTTTAGAAACTGGCAGAGGCAATGGGAAAATTCAACTCTCCATCTGCCCAAAGCCCTCCCTTCATGGTCCAGACCAAAGGCCCTTACTTCATGGAGTCTTCCCTGACTTCACCAGCAGAAGTGATCTTTCCCTTGTCTGGACGGCTTGTGGTCTGTTTGTACTTATCTTGGGGACTTAAGACATACTACTTTGTGGTATAGTTATTCATGCACAGGCCTCACTTCCCCCTACTAGAATGTAAGTTCTGTTAGTCAATAAACATTTATGATGCACCTTCTATATGTCAGGCAGTGTGCTAAGTGTTGGGGATACAAAGAAAAGCAAAACTCAGTCCCTGCCCTCAGGGAGCTCTCAATCAAATGGGAGAGACAACGTGCAAACAACCATTTACAAACAAGCTCTACATAGGATAAATGGAAAGTCATCAATAGAGGGAACGCACTAGAATTGAGGATTCAGAAAGGCTTCCTGTAGAAGGTTGGATTTTCGAAGGCATCTGAAAGAATCCAGGGAAGCCAGGAGGCAGAGGATGGAGAGCATTCCAGGCGTGGGGGAAAGCCAGTGAAAATATTCAAGAGTCAGGGAAAAAAAAGTGTCTTTGTTCCAGGATCAGTAAAGAAGCCAGTGGCATCGGATTGAAGGGACGTAAGGTGAAGGAAAACTAGAAAGATGGTGGGCAAGGCAGGTATTGAAGGGCTCTGACTGTCAAACACAGGATTTTGTATTTGATCCTAGAAGTGACACAGAGTCATTGGAATCCATTGAGTAGGGGAGGGATGCTATGGTCAGAGCTGTGCTTTAGGAAGATCCCTTTGACAAGAGTGGAGGATGGACTGGGGTGGGAAGAGACTTGAGCCAGGGACACCAACCAGCAGGCTATTGAAATAGTCCATGTATGAGGGGACGAGGGTCTGCACCAGGGTGGTGGCAGTATCAGTCAGAGGCAAGAAGGGGGCATATGTGAGAGAGTCACAAAGGTACAATCAACAAGATTTGCCAACAGATTGGATAAAAGGGGCAAGACATGGGAGTTGAGGATGATTCCTAGGTTGTTTGGAAGGAAGGTGGGTTTTTTGGGGGGGAGGGTGGGGGAAGGAGTTAATTCAACATTAAGGCAGAGAACATGTCTTATTTATCTTTGTGTTCCCCAGAGTACATACCACAAAGTCCCATATACAGCAAGTGCTCAGGAAAGATTTGTTGAATGTATAGGAAACCCAATAGGTCATGAACATTAGTAACTGTATCTTAAATTTGTAAGGTTTTGGCTTCTGGTCTTTAAGATCTTCTTTAAATCCCACTTTCCCACAGAAGCCTTTCCTGGGCATTCCAGTCCATAGTTTTCCTTCCCTTCTCTAAATTACTGTAATACTCACTACATCACTTATTCAACACATCATTTAATGCCTGGTATTGTTACCTTTTATATGTCTATCTCAACTAGATGGTAAGCTTCCTGAAGGCAGAAACTATGTCTTTGTGGACATAGTACCTAGCAGAGTACCTTTAACATAGGAAGTGCTCAGATATATAATATAGGACTTGTCAAAGACTCTTCCAGTTCAAATCTTCTATAATACTTTGATTTTTAAAAGTCTCATTTTATTCTATTTTTGCTACAGGAAAGGCAATAATAATTATTCACATTTCTATAACAATGATTTATAAAATGCTTCCTTCGCAACTACCCTGTGAGGTAAATAATGCAAATATTATTATCCCTATTTTACAGATGAGGGAACTGAACCTCAGAGAGGTGAAATGCTACATAGTGAGTAACTGTCAGAGTCAGGCCGCAAGCCAAACCTCCTAACTCCAAGTCCAGTGCTCTTTCCGCTATGAAGGGACCAGCCTTCATAATCTCCTAGCACTCCATTAGCCCCCCCAGCTTATATTCTAGGTGTGAGAGTTTTTTGGCAATTTTCATTAGGGCAGGCATTACTGTAAAACAGGAGCAATGCTGTGTCCTCTTGCTGGCAAATCTTTTTTTTTTTAATTTTTAATTTTTTAAAAATTGAAGGCATTTTCTTGAGGGAAAATATGTTGGGAGCAGTAAAAAAAAATCATATAATTGACATAGCATTCTATGGTTACTCCTCTCTATCTTTCATCAATTTAAGGAAATGAGTCAAGATTGTATTTCAAATCCAGCATCTTATTTTGGAGATCATTTCATATTTTTCTTTCAGTATAACCTGTTTTTCAGATTTGATCGCATTAAATTTGGGAGTCCAAAATTTGGGGCTTTTTTTTGTTGTTAAAAGAGTATTATAATGAGGGGCTGAGTGACTGACAATCTAGAATTATTAAAATGAAGGTAAAATAATGAAATGAAATGTAGTCACC